CTTGTCCATCGCTCGGGCGGCCGCCACGCCATCCTTGTTGGCGCGGGCATCTCTGCGTTGAGTGTGCGCAAGTGGTGCGCCAGTCGACGTAGATCTGGCGGCAGGCGGCCGGGGCGCTAGCGGAGAAGTCGAAGACGGTTTGCTGGAACACCCCCGCGCGGGGGGGGCGGCGATGCCAAGCGGGGGCGGCCTGCTCCGTGGGCGCCGCGAAGCATGGGACCTCTTTTGCGATTCGCGTTGTGCTGGTCGCGGCAACTGGTTTGGCGATTGTTGATCGACTCGCCCACCTCGCATTTGACCGCATGCCAGCCGTGCGGGTCGAGGGGTTTGTCGTAGAAGCTGCCGTCCTAATGGCGGCGCTGACAGCGGGAGCCAGGCGCGCAGACTCGGATCGGAAGCCGCCGATTCAAATTGCCGTTGAAATGCGCGTCGGGCTGTCCTGGGTCGCCCGGCTGGCGCTTGAGCCAGCTGCCAGCTGCCAGCTCCTGCGCCCTTGTTTCCTCGCAAGCGTGGGCAGCGGATTCGCGTGGCCGCGGTAATCCCACCAGCCCTCTGGCGCAGGTGGTTTAGAGCGTTTCCTTTTCCAGCCTCCTTCCTTTCCCTGCTCGGGAAGTTTCCCCTCCCCTCCCTGAGTCTGTACGGGCTCCCCCGCGAGGGGTTAGAGCGTCCAAAATTGCCCAGGATAGCTTCAAGAGGGCTTCAGCTAGCCCAAGACGGCCTCAAAGATCGCCAAACATACCTCAAGACGACTCAAGGTAGTCTGCAACACGCATCCAAGAGGCCTCAAGACGGCCCCAAGACGGTTTCAAGTGCCCTCCGAACCCTCCAAGGACCCCCCAAGAGGCCAACATGGATTCAAAACTTGAAAGGGAACACTGTTTTTGCCTTTTCGCGTCCGATGAGCTCTTGAGGCGTCAAGATGGCCCCGAAATTGCTCAACATAGCCCCCAAGAGAAGCCCAAGAGGGCCCCAAGACGGCCCCCAAAGCGCCCAAAAGCGCCCCAAGGGCGGCCCAAGCTGCCCAAAACGCCCCTTTTGGGCCTCCGAGGGAGGAGGCCTAATTTACGACTCCCTTCTTTTTTAAGTGCGGAGGCCCTAGACGGCCCCAAGGGGCCTCCCAGACTCCCCAAAAGAGCCCCGAAAGGGCCCCAAGGCCCTTCAAAAGAGCTTCAATAGAGCCTCAAGAGAGCCCCAAAAAAACCCCAAGAAAGCCCCACGGGGAGCCCGGGAAATTCCGCAAGATGACCCCAAAAGTTCCCCAATAACCTCTCGCAAGAACCTCTCGGGCCCCCATCGAATAGAAAATCCGATTCTACGACGGACTCGAATGTGACGGGGTCGGACCGCAATTCATCCTCCTCGCGCCGCGTTCCTCCTGCTCCTCCTCCTCCTCCTCCTCCTCCTCCTCCTCCTCCTCCCCTTCCTCCTTTTCTGTTTTTCCTCCTCCTCCTCCTCCCCCTCCTCCCCTTCTCCTCCTCCTTCCGTCCTCCTCCTCCTCCTCCTCCTTCCTCCCTCCTCCTCCTCCTCTTCCTCCTCCTCCTCCTCCTCTTCCTCCTCCTCCTATTACCCCCAAGATGGCCACAGGCATCACTAGCACCAGCTGGACCACTTGCTCCAAGATGGTTCCAAAATGGCAACAAAGCACCACAAGCAGTAACACCAGCAGCATCACCACCGCCGCCACCACCACCACCAACAACAACAACACCAGCAGTCGCACGCGAGTTTAAGATAAACTTCGCTGCGGGGGCAGAGATCAATGATGCATGCGGGGATGCGACTCTCAACTGTGCGACGAGGGCGACGAACGATAGATACAATCACCCGCGCCAGGGACGTTTACCACAGGGAGCACCCCGGCGTAATTTGCACGGGCTTCCATTTGAAACTCCGCTGCGGGAAGCTATGTGTGACCCTTGTTTCCCATGGCCCAGGGTGGATACAGCCACCGGCGCTCGAGACGTTTATCGGGCCGGGCGAAAGGGGGGGATAGCGAAGGGGCGTTTCGAGAATCAGCTCACGTAGCTGATTGTCCCGGCGTCTCCTGGCGCCGGAGGCGGCGATGTATCGAGGAATGGGCCCCTCGGCGGGGCTGAAACCAGCTGCATGCAGCAGATTTCGTACCCCCCCTTTCCCAATCCCCCCCTTTTCGTCCGGCCCGGTTTCCATCTTAAATTTCAATGCGGGAAGCGATGTATGATCTTTATGTTTCTGAAGACGGCCGCGCAACTGCATGCTTCCAGTCGTCCCTGATTTACAAACTCCCTTGCTGGTAGTTCCTGGATGGGCTGGTGGGGATACCCGGAGCGTCAAGAACTTTACCCTGTTGGCCGCGGATAACCTTATGCCCCTAAAAATAACACCAGGCGGATAATAAAGTTCGGGGGCCCAGGGGGGATGATACACGATTTGCCCCGGCAAGTCGCAAGAGGGATGCATGACGACGACTACGACGACGAGGATGTTTCCCGCAGTCTTTCTCATGAGAGGCCTAAGGCTTGCCCGCACTCTTCAGATCGTTGGCGTTCCTCGCCAGGAAGCCTCTCTTGCGAACGATCTCGAAGTACGCGCCCATGCAGCCTCGGCACCCCTTGGAGCCGTCCTGTGGGGGCAAGCACTTGGTGCACGCCTGGGCTGCCGCGAAAGCTTCCTCGAAGGATTCCTGCTTGGGTTCGTGCGCGGTTGGGTCCTTCGCTGAAATGGTGAGAACCCCATAGCCCTCGCAGACGTTCGTGATTCACGAAAGCTGGAATGGTAAGAAACCCACTGCCACGCCACAAGCTTTTGATGATGTCGCTACTCAACATAAGAAGATCGCAACTTCGATTCGTAACTGTCTCCCGTGATAATAAAGTTCGACCCTGCCGCCCCTCTCCCCCGACCAACTCTGTCTTGGCCGGGGAAAACAAAACTCTCAGAGGGAAGGTGGGTATGATTTATTATCCAGGGCTCGCAGTTACAGCTTTACTCCAGTGGGCCAGGCCCCCTGGGCCTGCAGATTTGTCGTGGTTCTGCAACGCAACCGATCCAATCGAAGGGCGCTTGGAGGACGTCTGCTGCCCGGCAAGCCGCCTCTGCGTGGTCGAGCGTCTGAGCTTGGCGATCAGCAGCGGGCGCTTGCCGCACGGCACGGAGGCGTACAAGTGCACCGCCAGGCCGCCCAGGCTCATGCCTGCGGCCAGCTCGGCCCAGCCCTTTCCGTCGTCCACCACCTTCTAAATATGGTCCTTCCTTGGTCCGCCCTCGACGAGGCTCTTGCCCAGCTTCATCTGCTTTTTGAATCCCTCGATGTCGACGGCGATTTCTTTCCTGCCGAGCGCCCCAGAGGACGGGCCGTTCCACTGGCTGCTGCAGAGGGTGGACGCACCCTCATCATCCCACACCCCGTGGAAGTGCTTGATGATGAGCTCCGCCGTGATCGGGCCCTTCGGCAGCTTGCCGCCGGCGCCCACCAACATCTCCTCGTAGAACGCCTGGGTGACAGCGCCGCTGACGTCGCACGCGCCGCCGCAGCGCGCGACGAGGGCCATTTTTGGCGGCGCGCACAAGGGGGTAGGGGGTGATGGGAGGGCTTTTTGGAAGGAGGCTGCTTCTGAGAAGGCGCCGGCCTTACATCTATAGACAAGGCCCCCGCCTTCTAAGAAGCAGGGGTGCTTCTGAGAAGCCCCCCCCCTCCCCCCAGCCCCCTGCGCATGGCTGACACTTGCCTCCGCGCCGTGGCCGCCCGTGCGGCCAGGCGCGCCGAAGGGCCGGGTGCCACGGCGGCGCCCGGCCGCTGGCGGAGCCCCAGCGCGGTGGCCAGGCAGGCTGGCAGCGCGGTGCCGCAGAGGGGGGCCACGGCGGCGCGCCTGCGCCTCCCTCCTTACGATCTGACGAGTTCGAGATCTGACGGTGTGCGACGAGCAGGCCCAAAAAACAGACCAGAGGTAATGGGGGGAACGGGGGTGGGGGAGGCGGAGGAGGAGGAGGAGGAGGAGGAGGAGGAGGAGGAGGAGGAAGAGGAGGGACCTGACCCCTCCTCGGCTCCACGGCGCCTGGCCCTCGGCTCTGGCCTCAACCCGCCACCGGCACGCGGTGTCGAGCAGGGACCGGCCGTCCCGGCATTCCTGTAGCCCTACTACGATGTGTTCGTCGAGCCCCAAAAATGTGCCAAGGACAACAACGAAGTTCTTGGAACATTCAGCCGATGTACCAAAACAAGACAGTCTCAAACAGAACTATTCCGAGAGCATTTCGTGCGAAACACAAAAGGTTCTCGTAGCATCCTTGGTGGGCCCATAGGCGAGCCAGGACGCTTCGCCACTGCTTAACGGTGGGGCGCTTCCACACGTGCAACCGTGGGAATATGCCAAGAGCCCTGGCCTGGCCACACTTGTCGACGGATGGATGAGTTCGCCTGGTCACAGAAGTCAGTAGGGACTCCGTCGAACTAGCTGCGCGAGAAAAAGGCAACTCGTAGTAAGTACAGGTGGGGGCTTCGTCCTCCGAGAAGGCCCCCGCCTGCGGAGGAGGAGGAGGAGGAGGAGGATGAGGGAGGAGGAGCAGAAGCAGGAACGGCCAGAGGCAAGGGAGTTTCCTCCTCCCTCCCCTCCTCCCTCTCTTCCCTCCCCTCCTCCCTCCCCTCCTCCCTCCCTCCCTCTCTCCCTCCCTCCCTCCCTCGGTCACTCCCTCCCTCTTTGTCCCCCCTCCTTCCCAGACCCCCGACGTCGTGATTCTCACCAAACGCTGACCCCCAAAGGTCTCGACCCATTCCCCAGGACCGGCTTTTCATCCCGAGTCATTTCTTCATGGTCCCGGGGCCCGGCGAGAGCCCCCAGGTCCGAAAATTGAAACCTTCCGTCGTGATTCTTGTCCTCCCTCCCTCCTCCCTCCCCTCCTCCCCCTTCCCTCCCTCCCTCTCCTCCCCCTCCACCTCCCTCCCTCCTTGTCCTCCTCCCCATCCCCTGCCCGAGGGGGGGTCTGCGTCCCTCCCTCTCCTCCCCGCCCCCCCCCCCCCCCTCCGCGCTCGGCGCGGCGACCACCAGCTCCGGCTCCGCGATGACCAGGGGCCGCGGGCGCTTCAGCTCCAGGTCCTGGGGCGCGGCGCTCCCGGGGAGGACGGACGGATGGGGACGTGTGGAGGGCCGGACGGAGGGATGAGGACGGACGGAGGGGACTGTGCATCGCTGGGCATCGCCCAGACGTGTGGAACTTGGTGCGTCGCTGGGATCGTCGAGGAGCACTGCTCGCCGCCCGTCCGAGTCGAGGCCGCGCTGCCGGCCTCGGCCGGCGCGAGGGGCCCCCCGGGGCGGGGAGGGGAGGACGGACGGAGGGAGCGGGGCAAGGAACGCAGGAGGGAGGGAGGGAGGGAGAGAGGAGGGGAGGGGAGGGGAGGGAAAGGGGGGGAAGGAGAGGAAGGAGGGAGGGAGGGAGGAGAGGAAGAGATGAAAAGGGAGGAGGAGGAGGAGGAGGAGGAGGAGGAGAAGGAGAAGGTTGAGGACGAGGACGAGGAGGAGGAGGAGGATGAAGAGGGAGGAGGAGGAGGAGGAGGAGGAGGAGGAGGAGGGAAGAGGAGGAACGAGAGGAGGAAGAGGAGGAGGAGGAACAGGAGGAGGAAGAGGAGGATGAGGAAGAGGAGGAGGAGGAGGAGGAGGAGGAGGAGCAGGAGGAGGAGCAGGAGCAGGAGCAGGAGCAGGACGAAGGAAGGGGAGGAGGAACAGGAGGAAGGACAAGAAGGAGGAGCAAGAGGAAAGAGAGGAGGAGAAGGAAAAGGGGGAGGGCCAGAGGAAGCCCAGGATGCACCAACGATGCTGCAATGCACTTCTCCTTACGTGGTGACAATGATCAACCAGAAAGCCGTCCTGCATCTCCTATGAATCACGCCGCGCCTTCAAGCATCCTTTTTCTATGCACGGTGCGCCCCCCCGGGAAGACGAGCGCCCCACGATCCCGCAATGCAGGCACGAGCTCCGCTTTGAAGGAACAACTGCCCTCGATCCCTCGAGCTATAACGCAAAGGACCGCGCGACGTCTGGGTCATCACTCGGCGACTCCAAAAGGTGTGGCTTGCAGAAGGGGTGGTTTGCAACCGGCCCCCTGGGGAACATCCCGGGGGGGCACCCCAAGGGCGAGCGGGGACTTCGATAGAGTTCTCCCGCGCCTCGAGGAGGCCCGACGAGGACAGCGTCGTGCCACCCAGGCCCCAACGGTGCCGATCGCAAACCACACCCTGGCGAAACCATATCCTTTGTAGTCGCCGAATCAGATTCAAGGGAATGCTCAAAGACGGCCCCAGTTTGAAAAAGAACCACCCTCATGTCCGTGATAGACAGGCGAAGCCTTAAGTGGCAGCCTCGTTTTGAGAAGGAGCCGCCGTCCATGCATGCAAAATGTAGGACATTTTCAAACACGTGGTGATGAATGCGAAGTCTCAAACGATAACCCCATTTTGAAAAAGGAACCGCCATCCATCCGCATAGCTGCTGGAACTGTTCAACACCTATGTGCGGGGCACCAAGACGAGAACCCTAGTCTGAAAATGATTCGTCCTCAATCTGTGTACCTGTTGAAGTTGTTGCACACATGCCTGCGCGGCGCTTCGGCGAGAGCCCCATTGTTAAAACGACCCGCCCTCTACCCGTGTAACTGTTGGAACTGTTTCAAACGAATCTGCGCCGCGACAAGGCGAGAACCCCATGTTGAAAACGACCCACCCTCCGTCCTCTGAGCTGCTGGACTTGTTCACGAGGAATCTGCGCGACACACAGGCGAAAGAGCCCCGCACCCCATCCGTGTAACAGATGGGGGCGCGTCAATCGGGTGTGCGCGTCGCCACGGCGTGCGCCAGGGAAGAGCTGCTCATCCATGAGAAGGGAGGGAGGAGAAAGAGGACGAGCAGGAGCAGGAAAGAGGGGGGAGAAAGGGGAGGGGGAGGAGGAGGACCAGCGTAAACCTTCGACGCATCAACGATGTTGCAATAAGCCCTCCCTCAAAGTTCCCTCTTCATTTTCCTACAAGAGCATCTATTCATTGCGGGAAATGCCCAATTGGAAGACAGCCGTCTTAGGAAGATTCAGCGGGGGGGTCCGCGCCGCGAATCAGCGTGATTGTTGCTTCCTGACAATCCAGAACCGTGCTAGAACACCAATTCTGGGACTTCAAAACAGCGACTGAACGTGCCTGTGACGTCCTGACAATCCCAAGTGGTGCCGGAACGCCATTCCTGGGACTCTAACATACGAATTCTTCAAACAGTCGCAAACATTTGAAACGAATGTGCGCGGCACTAAGGCGATAACTACACTTTTCAAAACAGCCCGCCCTCCATCCGTGAAGCTGCTGCGAACTTTTGCAGCAAATGTGCGCGGCGCTAAAGCGAGAACCACACGTTTAAAATCGTCCGCCCTACATCCGTGAAACTTCTGCACACTTTTGAACCGAATGCGTGCGGCGCTAAGGCGGGAACCACATGTTGAGAACGGCCCGCCCTCCGTCCTTGGAGCTACTGCAATTTTCAAGCTCAAGATCATGAACGGTGATGAAATCTCAGGCGAAACAGCTGGCCCGCCATACCGACACGCCGAGGGGTGCACTAGGAGGAGTTAAGCATGAGGAAAAAGGGATGGGGGAAGATGATGAGGAGGAGGAATGAAGGGCACCTCGCACGCCCACTCCGTGCTGAGGTCCCACGTGACCCTTCGAGCACGGCCTCGTCGTGAGCACACCCGAGGGGGCAGGGGTTGCGGGTGGGGGGCACGGGCGCGGGCACGTGCGTGCGTGGGTCACCTGACTTCCGAGCCCCGTGCCCCGCGATGCCCGACGCGTGCTTCTCCTCGCGCCCGCGCGCCGCCCCCCTTGGGAAGAGCAGGCGCTCTGGCTCGGTCATCTCCGCGCGAAGCGCGGTCATCCTCGCGCCACCGGGGGTGCCTGCCCCAGGGGCACGCACGACCACCCCAGGCCGCCAAGGACACACTGCTGCGCAGAAGAATAGGCAACCACACAAGCACTGATAAACTTTCGGAGGTCCGCGCGGATCTCCGGACCTCATTTTTGTGTGGTCGCTTCTTCGTTTGCCTCGACCTCCATCGCTCACTGCATGCATCAGAGAGGCTACCTACTTCGACCTTCCTCCACGAACACGGGCCCGCCGCTTGCGCCCACCCATCGGGCGTTGGCAGAACTGGGTTTAGTGGGACCTGGCTTAGTGATGTGTACTGGGGGACGCCCCCCCCGCCCCTTTCCACTAACTGGAACGGCTGTCTCCCAAAAAACACCTACGGTAGACCTGGTTTAGTGATTCTGGTCTGTTTAGAGGCTCCAAGGCCCTATTACCAGCCGGGTCCCCTCACCTGGGGTCCTGGCTATACCCGAACCCATCCCGCCACAAGACCAGTCGGCACCGAGTCGTGAAATCAAACCCCATCCAGGTGCGCCTCGGGCCACGGAGGCACAGAGATCGAGATCGGAGCGGACAGGCTGCGCGGAGATGCACAACAACGTCACGCAAGCACCGGGCGGTTGGAACAGGTTTCGAAATCGAAATGGATGGGGCCGACGGGAACGGCTATCGAACCGGATAAATCGGATCGAGGCGGACCCTGCCATCCCTCTCCACCAAGCCTTTCCGTCCTCCAATGCCGTCCCCCCTCCATCGTCGGGTGTTGCTAGAAGTGCCCCTGGCCCAAGGTGCCCCCAGGATTTATTTCCATGGAGGCCCCCACGGCCTCCAGAGCACCCCTCACGAGGCCCAGAGGGCCCCAGGGCGTCCAAAATTGAGCGACAAGCTGGGGGCACCTCTCGCCATTACTCGGACGTCCATTCCCCGTGCGTGTATTTTTTACAACATGACTCAAGATGCTACTCGATGGTCCCCGCCGAGAAAAAATGCACACGTCCGAGCGATAACAAGGACACGCTCTATCCTTCCTTAACTCCCACTGGATCTGGCAAAATCCTGGTTTGCCTAATCGGAAGGGCCCCTGGTCGAGGATCGCACATGTCGCGACGACCGCTGGCGTCGGCGTCAGGAGGGGGTGAGGGGGGGAAAGGAGGAGGACAAGAGAGGGCAAAGGAGAGAGGATGAACGCGAGGATGAGGGTGAGGAAAGGGGAAGAGGAGCAGGACGAGGGGGGGGAGGAGGACGACGCAGGACGAAGGAGAAGGGTGAGGGTGGAGGAAAGAAAGAAGGCAGCAGCGGTGGTCGAGGTGGAGAGAGAGAGAGAGAGAGAAAGAGCGAGAGAAACAAAAAAACGGATGGCGTTGCGCACGACAGGAGGGAAGAGGAGAATAATGAGATGGGGGGAGGGGGAGGGAGGAGGATGATGAGGTCCTCTTCCTCCTCCCCCTCCTTCCCTTCGCCCTTCCCCTCGTCCTTCCTCCTTCACTTCCCTTCCCTTCCCTTCTCTTCCCTTCTCTTCCCTTCCCTTCCATTCCCTTCTCCCCTCCCCCCCCCTCCACTTCCTCCTCCTCATCCTAGCGATGGCACAGTGCGGGCGGGCGGAATGAGCGAAGCGATTACATGAGATAGGGGAGGGGGGGAGGAGGATGCTGAGGTCCTCCACCTCCTCCCCCTCCCTCCCTTCCTCCTTCCCTTCCTCCTTCCTCCTTCCTCCTTCACTTCCCTTCCCTTCCCTTCCCTTCCCTTCCCTTCGTCCTGCTCCTCCCGCTGGAGAGCCCCGCCGCCGCCAGGCGCAGCTGGGCTACAGGTGGGTTGGGGTGGAGGGGGGGGGGGGGGCGCTGGCTGGGCGCGCCCCGAAGGCGCGCGAGGTGGAGAGCTGCACGGTGCCGACCGCCTGCGGGCGCCGCCCCGGCGCCGCCGCGGCCGTAAGGGCCGCCGCCGCAATCATCGTCCTCATCATCATCCGCATCAGCACCTTCTTCATCATCCTCAGCATGAGCAGCATCAGGACCAGCGCCAGCGCCAGCGCCAGCAGCAGCAGCAGCAGCAGCAGCAGCTGCAATCATTAACATCACCACCACCACCACCACCACCACCATCATCATCATCATCATCATCATCATCATCATCACCATCATCAGCATCATCATCATCATCATCATCATCATCATCATCATCATCATAATCATCATCATCATCATCAGCATCATCATCATCACCACCACCACCACCACCACCACCATCATCATCATCATCATCATCATCATCATCATCATCATCATCATCATCATCATCATCATTACCATCATCATCGGCAACACCAGCACCATCAGCATCACCTGCATCATCACCATAAACAACGACAACAACATCATCATCACCATCACCAACATCCTTATCCTCATCCTCATTCTCATCATCCCTATCCTCGTCGTCATGCGTCGCCAAAACCATCGCAATCGTCGGGTCGGCGGGCGGGACTTTAGAATATGGTGCATAATCGAGTTGGCACGCGAGAGCCCTGCTTGGCGGGTCGGGTCGGGCGGGCGGGCCCTAACGGGCGGGTCGGACCATCATCATCAGCATCATCATCATCATCACAATCACCATCATCATCATCATCATCATCATCCTCATCCTCATCATCATCCTCAGCATCATCCTCACTATCATCATCATCATCATCATCATCATCATCATCATCATCATCATCATCATCATCATCATCATCATCATTATCATTATTCATCATCATCATAGCCAACACCATTCTCATAGTCAACACCATCATCATAGTCAAAACCATCAACATCATCGTTACCATCAGGAAAAGCACCATCACCATCACCATCACCACCACCACCATCCTCATTATCATCATCATCATCATCATCATCATCAGCATCATCATCCTCATCCTCATCCTCATCATCACCATCATCATCACCATCACCCTCACCATCATCATCATCATCATCATCATCATCATCATCATCATCACAGCCATCATCGTCGTCATCATCAGTACCATCCGCATCACGGTCCTGATTATCATTCCTATCCTCACCCTCAGCCTCATCGCCATCATAATCATACTCATTATCATACTCATCATCATCATCATCATCATCATCATCATCATCATCATCATCAACAACATCATCACCACCACCACCATTACCGTCATCATCAGCAGCAGCATCATCATCCTCATCATCCTTATCATCACCACTGTCACCATCGCCATCGCCATCACCATCACCGTCACCATCATCATCATCATCATCACCATCATCATCATCATCATCATCATCTTCTTTCCTACCCTCGCGGTCATTATCGCCATCACCAACACAATCATCTGTTCAAGCCGGCGGGACATTCAATTGTGGTGCGTAACCGAGTTGGCGCGTGAGAGCCCTCGCAAGCGTGTCGGGTCGGGCGGGCGGGACACTGAGCGGGTCATTGTCATCATCGTCATCATCAGCATCGTCGCCATCACCATCATCAACATCATCATCGTCATCACCAGCATCTTCATAATCATCAGCGCCGTCGTCGTCGCCGACGGTGTCGTCATCGGCATAGGCATCGTCGTCATCATCATCATCATCACCACCACCACCACCACCACCATCACCATCATCATCATCATCGCCATCATCATCGACATCATTATCATCACCATCAGCACCCTCGACATAAACAACATCATCATTCTCATGGTTTTCATCGTCATCTCAAACATCGTCATCACGACCACCATCACCACCATGACCACCATCACCACCACCGTCACCATCACCATGACTATTACCGTCGGGCGCGCGGGACATTAAACGGGTAATCGTGATCATCATCGTTACCATGATCATTATCATAATCACCATCAGCATCAGCAGCATCATCATCATCAGCGTCGTCGTCGTGGTCGTGGTCGCGATTGTCGTCGTCGTCGTCATCGTTATCGTTATCCTCGTCGTATCATCATCATCGTCGCAGTCATCATTGCCATCGACGTCGTCATCGTCGTCATTGCTGTCATCGGCATCATCATCATCATCATCATCATCATCTTCATCATCGTCATCACCATCCCCATCACCACCCTTGTCATCATCATCATCATCATCAGCATCATCATGATCATCATCATCATGATCATCATCATCATCATCACCTTCATCGTCAGCAGCAACATCATCATCATCAGCAACATCATCATCATCATCACCATCATCATCGTCTACGTCATTATCATCAACATCAGCAGGAGTAGCAACATCACCATCACCGCTATCATCACCACCACCCTCATCCTCGTCTTCATCCTCATCATCATCCTCATGCTGATCATCAACATCACCACCATCACCATCACCACCACCGTCACCGTCACCATGACCACCATGACCAATACCGTCAACATCCTCATGATGATAACGACGATGACGATGGCGATTGACGGCTTGCCAGCAACGAATGAATGGAGTGGGGGAGGGCGATTCACTCGTCCCCCCTTGTGCCGCTCTTTCTTCGATGTGTACTCGCAGCCCGAGTCGGATCGTAAACCTTTTAGGGCCCGGGCCACGTTCAGAGCTCTGGCGTACGCGCCTCCGGAACAGACGCCCCATCACCCCATCTGGACCACAAACCAAGCAACACCAACTCACTTATAAGCCAACGATGTTGAAAGTTCAGGCTCTTGCCCACCTACGACCACCTACGACACCACCCACCTACGACCCACCTGCGACCCAGCCGGTCGCAGGTGGGGTGGTGTCGATTCGTTCTTGATCAACCATCCCCCTCGTTCCAAGAAAGCGGGGGGGGCAAAGAAGGATGGGGGAGAGACCAGAGCCTGGACGCACGCCGCACACTGTGCTCAGGACTGCGCTTCGCCAGCGTATTGACCACCGCAGCCATCCCCCTCGTTCCTCATCATCCACCTTCTCCCCCATCCCTTATCACATGCCCTCGGAAGTCTCTCGGATGCCTCTGGCCACAGTCGGCTACGCCGTGGGCACGTGAGAGCAGAAGATAGAAGGGCGACGGAGAAAACGGAATGAACAGGGGGATGGGGAACGCAGGAAGACGGGAGCGAGGAAGGACGCGCAGCGGATAGATGGAAGGAATGGAGAAGCGAGGACGGGGGAGAGGGGAGGAGGAGGAAACATGGCGTGGCTCCAGAGTGAAGCGCTCCTCCTCCTCCTCCTCCTCCTCCTCCTCCTCCTCTGCTTGTCCTCGTCCTCGTCCGCAAGCTCCTCCTCGTCACAAAACGAAGCTACATGCACACCCACTGATTATCAAGATGAGCGCGAGCACAAGACAGGTGAACAAGACGACGGTGGCGCCGAGCGCCTCGTAGCTCCCCTCAGCCGGCGAGCTCCGCCGCAAGCTGGCGGCACCACTACCACCATGACCACCACCACCACCACCATCACCATCACCATCACCATCACCATCATCATCATCATCATCATCATCATCATCATCATCATCATCATCATCATCGTCATCGTCATCATCATCATCATCATCATCATCATAATCATCATCGTCATCGTCGCTATCATCATCAGGATAAGCATCGGCATCAGCATCAACATCAGCATCAGCTTCATCATATTCATCATCCTCATCACCACCATCATCATCATCATCGTCATCAGAATCCTCATCCTCATCCTCCAAAGCATCATCATAATCCTGATCATCATCATCCAAATCATCATCATCATCATCATCATCATCAGCATCAGCGGCAGCATCAGCAGCATCATCATCATCATCATTATCATCATCATCATAACCACCACCACCACCACCATCATCATCATCATCATCATCATCGTCATCATCATAGTCGAAACCATTATCATAGTCAATACCATCATCATAGTCGATACCACCATCATCATCGTCATAATCATCACAAGCACCATCACCATCACCATCATCCTCATCATCATCAGCTGCACCATCATTGTCTGCATCATCATCATCCTCATCATCGTCGTCGTCATCGTCGCCGTCATCATCCTCGTCCTCATCATCGTTATCATCGTTATCATCGTCATCATCGTCATTACCGTGATCATCGGCACCATCACCATCATAATCAGTATCACTAGCATCATCATCATCACCGTCACCATCACCATCGCCATCAAACTGAACATCAGCACCGTCACCACTATCATCATCATTATCATCATCAGCATCATCATGATCATCATCATCAGCATCGTCATAATCATCATCATCATCATCCTCATCATCATCATGAGCATCATTATCATCATGATCATGATCATGATCATGATCATGGTCATGATCATGATGATGATGATGATGATGATCATCATCATCATCATCATCATCATCATCATCTTTACTATCATCGTTACCATCACCTCCATCTTCATCTTCATTTTTATCTTCATCTCCTCCCTTTCCTGCTTCACTTTTCTCCTCCTCCTCCTGACCACCATCTCACCATCATCATCCCAAGATCGGGGCGGAGAACACCCGCCTGCTTCTTCCTGGCCACGCGGAAGATGCCGTTCGCGTCCTTTGGCGCGCCCCGGGCAGGGCGACACATCGCCGATAGATTGGTGATAGGCTCCCGATGGCGGGACAGCGAGCTCCTAACTGGGGCGGGCTACCGTGCTACAATCGGCGCTGAATGGGCGATCCCCCCTGCGGCGGGTTCGTGTCGTCACGAATTCGGCGTTGGCTTCTGACACCGCGGGGATCGCTCGACCTTGAACGATCGGCCGTTTCAGAAACGCCGGATCGCTCAGCATCGGCCGACTCTGGGTCGCTGGCGGCGTCAAACGTTTGATGCCAACGGCGGGGTCGCCGCCCCTCGACACGACGCGAACTGGTCGTACACCCTGCGAAATGCTTAAGAAATCATGGGTTAAGAAATTCATAGTCTCAAAACTTGAATAAAAAACCCAACATTTCTGTTAAAATCTTAAGATTTACATTGAAACGTTAAGAATAATCGAGACTCTGGCCGAAAACTTAGGTTTTCTTAAGCATCGCCTAAGGTGTACGTAATCATACCCCCCCTCTGACGTTGCGCCTGACTGCTCCTCTGCCCTGCGGTCGAGTGCACGCGAGGCACACAATTCACGATACACTGGCTGCGGCCACCAGCAAGATCGAAGGAAACGATCAATCGATGGAGCCTCATCATAGGAGGCCAGGTCGTGGACCACAGGAAGCAACACCGTAGATCATAAGATGCCTACGTAGATTTAGGTCGAGCCTGTCCCCCTACAGGGAGATTTTGGGCGACCAATTAAAAATACTCAAAAAATATCCAAAACATGATCAACAATAATCAAAAAATCGTTCCCAGAGTATTTCTTCACTCTTTTTGAATATTCCTCCTGTAGAGGGACAGGCCCGACTTACACGTAGATCGATCGACCATGGATCATAGGAGGCCGGATCGGTAGATCAGCGAGGCACCATGGTATCACAGAAGGCCTCGATCGCCCGACCGTGGGAGGCGATGGTCAAACCCCCTCCACGCTTCTCGGAGAGCGCGGCCCGTGTGGCTCCCGGGGAGGGGCGGGCGATCCCTCTTGAGGGTTCCCCGCCCCTCCCTGCTCCCTCCTCCTCCCTCCTCTCTTCCTCCGTTCCCCGCCCGTCCGTGCCCCTTTTGGCTCAAGGTGCTTGCACGAGAGGGCTTCGCCCTCGTGCCTCACTGGGAGCTGCTACAGTGAAGACCCGTGCTAAGAAACACCCTTTTGGCCTCCAGGGTGCCCTGGGTTTTCTGGGTTTAGATATGTCTGCCACCGAAGGCGCGACGTTCCCACGCCAAGAAATCGATGGAAGTCCTGGGGTCGCAGGGTTAGGTTTCTTGTGGAAGGTTTCGTGTGGTCGGGCTCCTACTGCATCCCGCAGCAGTGTCCCAAGAATTCGCCCTGGTCTGCCGCGGGCGAGGAGCGAGGCACCAGCGTGTTGGGCAGCAGCCGCCTCGCTGCGGTGCAGCACGGCGCCTCCTGCTCGTGGCGGCGGCGGCGGCGGTGCTTCCTCGGTGCGCAGCGGCGGCGGCGCTGGCGGCGGCAATCTGGCCGGTTGGCGCTGCTCCCATTGCAACTGCAGTGGGGGCCCGTCCACGAGAAACCTTCCACAGGAAACCAAACCCTGAGACCCCAGGACGTCCATCGACTCTTGGCGCGGGGCCTCCACGCTTTCCATCGAAGAACCGTCGGAACCAAAGAAACCCAGGGCACCATGGAGGCAAGCAGGGCGTGTCTTAACATGTTTCCCAAGAATCTGGGCTGGCGCACGCATTGCCGACAGTCTCAAGGGGCCCAGGGACACACAGATAAATTAGACCTGAAAAAAACCCAATCATAGGATGATTTGAAAAGTAAGACTATGGATCTTGAGATCAATTGTGAGATCGATAACGAAACCGATAGTGGAATCGATAGTGAGGACGATTGTAAGGTCGATCGTGAGACCGAGGGTGAAATCGATTCAATGACACCGATAATGAGATCGATCGCGAGATCGCTCATGCGATCTCTAGTGATATCGATAGTGAGATCGATGGTGAAATCGATTGAAAAATGGGTGATGAGATCGATGGTGAGACCCATCGATCAAAAAATCGAACAAAAACCCGGGAACCCGGGAACGGCCCGGAACCTGGAACCGGGAACCGGGGAACGGCCCGGAACCTGGAACCGGGAACCCGGGAACCAAGCGTGCGACCAACATCGGCGGGCACGTTCGCCAAATCCTTCAACATCCGCGAGGACCCCTTCAGTGCAAGCACTGATTGGGGAATTGACACAAATAACAGGATTCTTCCATGTTTTCCCAGATTGTCTGGGTTTTGTCTTCCCCCCACTACCCATATTTTCTGGGAGTCGACGATGTGTGTTTTTTTTCCCCTCCTTACATTGAGCAGGGACCGACCGTCCCGGCATTCCTATAGTCATACCACGAGATGTTCCTAGAACCCAAAAATGTTCTAAAAACAAAGCAATGTCCTTAGAACGTATAGCCCGATGTGTTAAAACAAGACAGCCTCCGCCAGAAATGTTCTAAGAACATTTCCTGGGAACCACAAGCGGTTCTTAGAACATTCTTTGGTGGGGCTATAGGCGAGACGGGACGCTTCGCCACTGCTTGATTACAGGCGAAGTGCAACGGCTGCCGCCCGACGGATCGCGCCGCGCCCCCTCGCGGCGCTCACGGCGGTGCCCGCGGCGCGCGGACGCGCGGGCCCCCCGTGCTCAACGCCTCCAAGAAGGACCCCCCGTGGCGCGACATGGCGCGTGGACCGCCCAAGCTCTCCGACGAACTGTGCCCTGGTGCCCGCCCTGGCCCGCCCTTCGGGCCTGCGCCCGGGCGAGGCGCCGAGGAGCGCTGGCCCCCCTCTGGGAACGTCCACAACGGCGCGACGCGCCGAGCAGCGCCGCTGCGACGCGAGGCATCGGGCGATGGGCCCGGCGCCCCGACGGCAGCGGCGGCGGCCGCGGCTCTTCCACGAAATGCGCGACCGCTACGCTACGTGGCCTTCAGCGACGACGTTTACACACTGTTCGAGGTGCCACTGTGCGACAGCGACGGGCGGAGGCTGCGTCAGGCGCGCTTCCTGGCGCAGCAGCAGCTTGGCGCGCCGTCGGAGGTCGAGCAGGTCAAGTCGGCGTAGGTTGCGGCGGCCGAGGCGAGACGCAGGCTGCAGAAAGCCCAGCCGGGGCACGACGCGAAGCCGAAGAGGGCTTCGGAAACGCTCGGGGCTGCTTTCGCTCAGAAGGTGGACCAACTGCGAGCCGAGCTTGGCGCTGCCGTGGAGAAGGCCGAGCTGGCGCTCGTGACCGACGCGTGACCTTACCGACCGCGTCCAGGGCGCATCCCAGGGCTGCCGCTCTGGGCCGCTCCAGGCGCGGCTCGCCCAGCCCAGCCCCGGCGCGGTCGCCGCCGCGGCGTCTGGCTCGTCGCAGCCAGCGCCGCCAGCCGCAGCCGCAGAGGCTGCGCCGCCCGCTGCCGGTGGCCAAGCTGCTCCAGCAATCGCGAAGTAGTCGAGGCGATGGGCCTCAACGTCACCGGCGAGGGTTTCGTCGCCGCGGCCGACGACTTCTGCCAGGGCGCTCGTAGCCGCGGCCGACGACTTCTGCCGGGGCGACGCTGCGACGCGGGAGTGGCCCGAGGACTTCTAGGCCCACGTCGAAGCCGAAAAGCTCGAGCCGCCCGAACAGAAGAAGCAGCGGTTGGGAGGCAACACGCCGTGGAAGCTCTGCACGCTCGACATGGACACGCTCGCCAACATCGACAAGTGCATGACTGAAGAGTTGCGCGGCTGAGATGTCATTTTCTTCCAGGAGTCTCGGCATTTTGAGGGGCGCGCGACGGATGCTGAAGGGGAGCTTCGTCGTCGGGGTTGGCGCGTCTGTGGAGCTGCAGCAGCGCCGTCGCAAGCTGGGGGGCTGGCGGCGGGCGGGCGGGCCCCTCGCCCGCGTGATGGACGAGCGCGGCCTGGCTACCTTGCTGGGCGAGAAGCCGTCTGTGCTTCGTGGGGGGCGCTTGCGCCTGCTTCACCATGCCAGGCTGATTCCGGGCGGGATCAGGCTGCACGCGCGCGGTCGGCCGCGCGTGAACGGGGGCGACTTCAACTGCGCGAAGTCCGAGCTGTCTGAGAGCGAGGTGCGGAGGTACTTCGACGGCATGTGCGCGGACACTTTAGATTACACCTGCCTGCGTGTAGCCCTAGAGGTCCATCCATATCATCATCGTGTCCGAGGCGCTCAAGGTGGTCGGCACCCAGGTGGTGCGCGGATCGCCTGTGCACCCCCAGAGGCAAATTATCTTGCAGCTGGAGGTTTCGCGCCAAAGGCCGTGGATCCGCATCCCGCAGGTGCCTCATGCCCAAAGCTCGATCACACCGCCCAGTGGAGCGTCGTGAGCGCTGAATCGAAGAACGCGCTGCGCGCTAGGCCTCGTCGGCGCCAGTTGATGAGGCTTCTCGCGCGACCTTGCCTGCACCTGGCGGCGCCGGGAGCGCGAGCGAGCGAAGTGTGTGCCACTCGCAGGAGTGTGAACGAATTATGGTCCAGATCGACGGCGACGATGGCACATGTTTACAGGCTTGGAAGTGGGCACCAACACCAACGCAGGGGGGTGCCTCCACGGGAGGAAGATGATCCTAGATTTGGGCGTTGGTGTCAACCTCTGGGCCTGCGATATGTTGCGGGCCTGATGCTGAGGAAGAGTGGATCGATGGAATGTCTACCGGGGGGGGGTGGGACAGGCGGAAGCACGAATGGCGCGGGCGCCAGGCTCGGCCTCGCTGGGTTCAACGGCCACCTCTCGCTGGACTCGGTGGCCGCGAACTTCTGTCCAGGCGACGTGGCTCCATCGGGCCATCGGCCATTCCCTCGGCCTTCTCGGCGCTCTGCAAGGCGCGCGCAAGCTACTGGCAGGGGGGCCGAAAAACGGTCGAGGCGCGCACCGCCTCCACAGCCGACGATGGGCTTTTCCAGCCTCCGGCCATCCCGCAACCCAAAAAAGATGTCTGCGAATTCTCTGTTTGTGTTCAGATTGCGGCGCGGCCGCGCTGCAGCCTCCTGCCGCCGCCGCGGGGGTGGCGCCCGCGGCCTGCCGGCGGTGGTGCTCGCGCAGTTAGTTGCCTGCGCCTGGCCCGCCTGGGCCCCGAGCCCCTGCTGGCGCTGGGCAGGGACGCGCGCGCGGCGGCGCTGGCGCCTAGTCGAGCGCGACATGGCCGGAAGGGCCGCTCGCATCCGGGAGTGAGTCGCCAGGCAAGCCGGCGGCGGTGGCGGCGGGCCCCGCGCAGTCTCGCGCCTGCCGACGGGCTGTGCCGAGAGCCCCGTGGGCCCCGCTACGGGCGGCGAAGGCGTCGGCGAGGCGGGCGCCGAGCCGCTCGACCTCATCCAGGAGGTCTCGGCGCCGGAGGTGGAGCGGGGCCGCCGGTGGAGGACCGCCCGCGAGCAGACGGCGCTGCTCTGGCCCGACCGCTGTTCGAGCCGCTCGACCTCATCCAGGAGGTCTCTGCGCCGAAATTGGAGCGGGGCCGCTGGCGGAGGACCGCCAGCGAGCAGACGGCGCCGCACTGGCCCGACCACTTGGGCGACGGGCCGCCCGGGGCCACTGTCGCGCAGCTGGGCAAGGTCCCCCGCGCGTTCAAACAGTGCGCGGGCACGTCGTTCTGCGCTGCGCGCCCCAGGCAGCTCGACGAGCTGCGCCACGCGGCGCTGGGCGCGCTGATCGACATCATCGCGGCGGTGGAGCGCGACGCGGAGTGGCCCGAGCTCACGACCAAGATCGTCTTCATCCAGGAGCGGCTCGACGGCGCCAGGCCCATCGCGGTCGCCATGGTGCCGGCAAGGGCGCAGGCCAGGCTGCGCCGCGGTGTCGCCCGGGCGTGGGAAACGAGGAGCGTTCGCCCCTACTGGCGGGCGTCCATTGGGCGCGCCTGTCAGCGCGCCGCGTGGAAATGGGCTGCCGCGGGCGAGCGGGCCACCCAGCGTGGCAAGACCGAGGGCGACGAGGCGGCCTGGGTCGCCGTGGCCGCCCTGCTGGAGTTGCTCCAGCTCTTCGAGCAGGTGCGTCTCCACTGGTTGTTGGACGCGGCCATTGCCGTAGGCTTCCCGCTCTGGCGGCTAAAAATGCACCCGCCCCTTTACTGCGCCCCGCAAGCACTGCGCCTCGGCAGCGCAACGTCGGGCCTGATCGCGCGGCGCGGCAGTCGGCCCTGCCTGGCGACGGCGTCGCGACGGCGCTTCTGAAACGTGCCCTCGTCGGCCCGCTCGACCAACTGGTGGCCCAGCATCGCGCGATGATCCAACGAGTTGGCGGGCTAATGCGAGTCGCCAGCTCATTAATTAACAGGCGCGGCGTTCAAGCTGAAGACGCCGCTGCAGGCCGTGGACCTCGACGCGACAGCCGAAGAATCGCGGGCGCTGGCCAGCCTTCCGGCCGCCTGGCACGATCAGGAGCGTCGGCAGCGCCGACTTCACAGGGTCCAGTCGGCCAAGGGGGAGCGCGACCTCGGCGTGTACTTCTCGCGTGGCAAGCACATTGTGCTCGCGACCAGGCGCGACGACGCGGCGCAGACTGGCCTTCGGCTGCGCCGCGCGGGCGCGGGGCGCAAGCAGGCCGCGCGCAAGGTGGCGCGCACTGGCCTCGAAGCGTGCGCACGCATCCCACGGCTTCTCGGTCACGGGCTGCGCCACCGCGGAGCTGGGCGAGCTGAGGGCGGCGGTCTTCACGGCGGCGGCGCCGAGCGTCGCAGGTAGGTCGGCGCCGCGCGTCGCAGGTAGGTCGAGCATGCTGACGCCGTTCCTGGACCAAATGAACCGCGCCACGCTGCTGCCCCTCATGGCGCTGCCGCGCGCAAGGGCGCCGGGTTCCCCAGCGCATCGTCGAGCTTGGCTCGACGAGCTGCCTCGCCTCCAGCTGGTGCCAGGTGGGGGGGCCGTTCTCTGCGCTGAGGCTGTCGAGCATGAGAACGGGATGGGCCATTGTCGATGGCAGGACATGGCGCGCGCGCGAAGGGGCCTAGGTCGTACGTCGACGTGTTCGAGGTGGCGCCGCGGCAGCTGAAGAGGCCCCTGAGGCGCGCCTGGCATCGGGGGCAAGCAGGACAGCGTCCTGGCCCTCAACATCCGGCGACAGGCGGCGTGCTCGAGCCGCTCATCAAGACGGCCACCGCGGGCGCCGCCAGTCGCAACGGGGCCTTCGGCTGCCAGGTTGGCCTCGGGCGTGACCCTGCCGATCCTACGGTCACCGCCCTGAAACTCACCCCCGAAGGAGCGCGGCTACTTGGCACCGGTCATCGTGGACGAGCAGGGGTCGCGGAGCCGCAAGAGCTCGAGTGCGGCATGGCGCTAGATGACGCGCTCCTCCTGCGCGGCGAACCTGGCACGCTGCTCTACAGGCTCCGCAGCTGCAACGGCTGGCCTGACGGGGCTCCAGCTGCCCGGCAATGCGCAGGGACTGCTGCAGCGGGCTGACCTTCCCGAGGTCGCCTGCCTCCTGAAGCGGGCGCTGTGGCCAACGCCTCAAGGCATGGCCCTGCCGCCCCGGGTACCCGACGTTTGCTGGCTGGGGCGCGCCGACGGCTACCTGCCGTCGGGCGAGCTGTTCCTCGACGGCTCCGCGTTCGAAGGCGATTTCGGCCAATTCACCAGCGCGGGCTGGGCCGTCATCTCCCTGATGCCGTCTGCCCAGGTCTTCGTCTCGGGCATCCTTGGAGTGTTGTGCGAGCCCTTCGTCGACATCAACGGCGGCCGCTGACAGCAACTATCTTCCTGGGCCTCACGGGGCACGGGAGGGCGAAGACCACCGACCACGGCAACGCGTGGGCGCACCTGTGGTTCGAGGTGTGGCGACTGCTGGACGAGTTCGGCGGCCTGTGCGAAGCAGGCCGCACGGTGCGCAAGGTGCCTCCTGCTTATCAGTCGCACAGGTCGGTCGTCGAGCGTGATCTCATCACCTATGGTACGGCAACCAGCTGGCGGACAAGGCGGCGGAGTGCGCTGCTGCCTATGGCCGTCTGCCGCCTGCTGCCAGGCGCAAGCTGGTCCTGGCTAGCAAGGCAGGCCGTGGAGGGCGTGGCGATGTGTATCTCG